CTTTTTAGGTCGACCTCTACGACCAACATTGCAATGTGCTAACAAGTAAAAAGTTATAGTTGGGCGAAGCCTACCATACCCTACACCAGTTATAAAAATAAAATGTGATTTATTGTTCATAATAAAGCATCTAAGTTGAATTGTACCTTGCCTCAGATATAATTTAGCTATTTTTTGTTGAATAAAATTGTGTACATTTAAGTCATATTTCCAAGGGGGCTTTGCATAGGGGCTAGGGTCAAATGAGGCCGCATCATCAAAAAATACATCAGGGTCATGAAGGCTAATATAGAACTTGGTTTTGCAGCTTTTTGTCGAGTTACGAGTATATTGAACATAATTATGAACTTAAAAACCCTATTTGGGGGGTTCAGTTGTATGGGGGCTAGGTCAAATATTGGACCGATGTTATCCATTTTCAATAGGATCCGTCTCTAGTACAATAGAAGATCATGCAAAATTTCATTGAATTATCTTCAAAATTGCTGTAGTTTGATTACAAGGTTTACACGGACGGACGACAGACGGACGACAGACGGACGACAGACGGACGGACATAGCTAAATCGACTCAGAAAATGATTCTGAGCCGATTGCTATACTTTAAGGTATAGGACCAATATTATTGTGTGTAACAAACATCAGCACAAACCCAATATACCCTCCCCACTAAAGTGGTGTAAGGTATAAAAACGAAGTGAATAAATAAATTTATATGTGCTATGTGTATGGACTCATACCACTTTAAAAAATAAAAGGTTCAAATGTGTATAAAATTAGCTCTGCGGAATTTTGTTTTGCATGAGTCAAAAATAAAATAAGATCGTAATTTTCAAATTAATGAAAATTATGGCTCAAAAAAAGAAAATAAAAACAGTTTTTTGAAACAAATCCTAATCCCGAAAAAATCCCGGGATTTATTTTCCAAATCCCGGGATTCGGGATTTGCCAATCCCGAAAAATCCCGGGATTTTCGGGATCGGGATTTCGGGATTGGCATCCCTAGTAAACATGTGTATTTATTTGAATAAAATATTTACATTTAAAATTTTTTTCACACAAAAATTCTATATGTTTAACAGCACGTTGGCAAAATTCAATTGTACAAATAAAATAAATATGTATAGTACAATAATATAAAATAGCAAAATTTTTTGCTCTTCTTCATTTAATTAAATTTGTGACAAAAAGTAGAGCAAATAATTGAAAAAAATAAAAAAGTAAACGTTTCCCCCAAATAGATCGTATACGGTGGTCTATTTAGTTATTTATGTATGTAGATTTAATGTTTTCAACAAAATATTAACAGTTTAAAAATAGAGCAAATAATTGATGATATTTTATAAAAATTGAGAAAAAAGAAATCTTGGACATGTTGTAAATTAAGTAAATAAGACTTCGATCTTGAACAGGAATTAGAAAAGGGGTATTTTTAGGTACCTTTGCAAAAGTTTTAGCAAGGAATTGGTTTAAAATTGCTCTTAACAGAGTAATAGAAATTATTTATAGAAATATCGAATATTAAAATAAGTATATTATCAGCTTTTGAAACGTATTCCAAATTTTGGTACAATTAATTTTCTTTTTATGTAGCTCAAAAAGTACTTTTTAATACCAATGCTACAGATTATCAATTTTACATCCCTGCTGCTATACAAATGTAAATTAACAGGCCACGACAGACTCGTAGACAACTTGTAAAAGTATTATTTTGTAAATTTAAAACTAGATTGTATGGCACTATTTTTAAAACCCATTTTATTCATAAAGTACACAAACACATTCATGTACAATATTAAACAAAATGAAATAATAGTAATAATAATAAAAAATACAGAAAAATTCGCACGATAAAAACAAATCACTTGACTTTTGTTTAACATCAACACAAAGATTACGAACGAATGAAAATTGTACACTTGAGTGAACTTAATGTACGCCAGTCAGCCAGCCAACCAGCCAACGGACCGAATGCATGTAATTTCCTTGAACTTGTTGCGCCAAACGGCAACAATGTGAAATTATGACACAAGATAAAAAACTAGTAAGAGATAATAGTCAGTTATGTACGTCCATATGATACCCTACAATGACAAAAATGTTGACTAAAAATCAATACATTCATTCGAAAATGACAGAATGAAAACAGTAGTGACATGAAAGAGCGCGGACAGTCGTCAATTTACAGTACCCAAGTAATGCAGAGAGTGGACATTAAAAAAAACTTAAAGGAAAATGCTCATTGCCTATTGACTCTTTTAGAATAGCTTTCTGGCTGTCTCTTTGTAATCAATGGAGTAACGATTGAATTCCTACTAGAAAAAGCAGGGGTGGTAGGGTTAATAGCTAGTTTAAGACTATCCCCCTGAACTATTGGGTGGGGATCGATAGATATTAAAGACCTAGCAATATTTTTATATGTACATATATATTTATAAAGGACCTTAATCTATGTACTAGTCCATGGACTGGTCTCTGGATACTATTGTATTGCGATGTTTATGGACTATGCTATTGTATATTAAATAGTATATGGACTAGATTGATGGCTAGTCCGTGGACTAGTTTATTGACAAATCTAGGACCAGTTTATTGCCTATTATGAGAACCAGTTTAAAAATGGACAAAAATTGTCAAATCAACGCAGAAAGTGATTTTTATTTACATAGATTTACTCTAAAGTAGGTAGAACCATAATGTTTTCAATGTTACCAACTTAAGCCCAAAGTCATATTGCGTCTTCCCGATTATAGTGGTGTGGGTTATAAATAGGAAAAACTTTTATTTGTTGCTTTTTTTTATTTTAAGCAACAGCCAACTAAATATCAAATGAACGAAACAATGAGTAATAAATATCAGTAGGGGTATTAATGACATAAGATAAATCAAGTATGGTTTATAGTTGGGTCCAAAGATTATATCATTATATCAATAGTATATTAACATTGATAACTAACTAACTAACTAACTAACTAACTAACTAACTAACTAACTAACTAACTAACTAACTAACTAACTAACTACTAACTAACTAACTAACTAACTAACTAACTAACTAACTAACTAACTAACTAACTAACTAACTAACTAACTAACTAACTAACTAACTAACTAACTAACTAACTAACTAACTAACTAACTAACTAACTAACTAACTAACTAACTAACTAACTAACTAACTAACTAACTAACTAACTAACTACTAACTAACTAACTAACTAACTAACTAACTAACTAACTAACTAACTAACTACTACTAACTAACTAACTAACTAACTAACTAACTAACTAACTAACTAACTAACTAACTAACTAACTAACTAACTACTAACTAACTAACTAACTACTAACTAACTAACTAACTAACTAACTAACTAACTAACTAACTAACTAACTAACTAACTAACTAACTAACTAACTAACTAACTAACTAACTAACTAACTAACTAACTAACTAACTAACTAACTAACTAACTAACTAACTAACTAACTAACTAACTAACTAACTAACTAACTACTAACTAACTAACTAACTAACTAACTAACTAACTAACTAACTAACTAACTAACTACTAACTAACTAACTAACTAACTAACTAACTAACTAACTAACTACTAACTAACTAACTAACTAACTAACTAACTAACTAACTAACTAACTAACTAACTAACTAACTAACTAACTAACTAACTAACTAACTAACTAACTACTAACTAACTAACTAACTAACTAACTAACTAACTAACTAACTAACTAACTAACTAACTAACTAACTAACTAACTAACTAACTAACTAACTAACTAACTAACTAACTAACTAACTAACTAACTAACTAACTAACTAACTAACTAACTAACTACTAACTAACTAACTAACTAACTAACTAACTAACTAACTAACTAACTAACTAACTAACTAACTAACTAACTAACTAACTAACTAACTAACTAACTAACTAACTAACTAACTAACTAACTAACTAACTAACTAACTAACTAACTAACTAACTAACTAACTAACTAACTAACTAACTAACTAACTACTAACTAACTAACTAACTAACTAACTAACTAACTAACTAACTAACTAACTAACTAACTAACTAACTAACTAACTAACTAACTAACTAACTAACTAACTAACTAACTAACTAACTAACTAACTAACTAACTAACTAACTAACTAACTAACTAACTAACTAACTAACTACTAACTAACTAACTAACTAACTAACTAACTAACTAACTAACTAACTAACTAACTAACTAACTAACTAACTACTAACTAACTAACTAACTAACTAACTAACTAACTAACTAACTAACTAACTAACTAACTAACTAACTAACTAACTAACTAACTAACTAACTAACTAACTAACTAACTAACTAACTAACTAACTAACTAACTAACTAACTAACTAACTAACTAACTAACTAACTAACTAACTAACTAACTAACTAACTAACTAACTAACTAACTAACTAACTAACTAACTAACTAACTAACTAACCTAACTAACTAACTAACTAACTAACTAACTAACTACTAACTAACTAACTACTAACTAACTAACTAACTAACTAACTAACTAACTAACTACTAACTAACTAACTAACTAACTAACTACTAACTAACTAACTAACTAACTAACTAACTAACTAACTAACTGACCAATTTATGGACTAATATTTGAATTGCTCAGCGGATTAGTCTATTTGCGTTAAAAATTGTTGCACCTAGCAATGAACCACCATAATAAGAATAATGGAAGACAAAAACAATACAGCAAATGTAAACAATCTCCAAACAAAAAAAAACAATTTTTGTGAGAATTGACAAAAATAAATTATTGAAAAGAATAATAACCGTATAAAGATGGCTTAAACGTGATTAAAATATAAATGTACACATTTTAGCATCTAAAATAGCGGAATATTAAAAATTTTTTCAAAACATTAACACAGTAACAAGAATGAAATATGTATTATTTGTTTACCTTTTTTTTCCGACACTTACGCCTAAAACAAAATGGAATTTGAACTATATTATTGATTTGTTTGATGATTAATAAACAAAAAACATTTCTAATTATGCACTTTTGTTATATAATTACTATTAATTATGCACTGCATTCAGAAAATTCATATAAAATTTCTAATAATTTTCCAAATGTTATCAAGACGAACAATAACGTCTAATACTAAGTATTACGCGTTTAATTAATAAATAAAACACGATGTACATTTGTACATAAACAATAATAAAGATTAGAAAATGCAAGCGTAATGAAAGATTGACTGACCGACTACCGGGGCGTTTTAGTTTTATTGAACTATAAATATAATTCTGCAGTATTAAAGTTTATTTATTATTTTTTTTTTTGTCTTCAAAAGATTTCAAAACTTAAAATTGTTTTATTTTTAATATGATTCACTGTTATACTTCATTTTTTTCACAGTTAAAAATAGTTTATTTTTTATCACTTTAAACATAATTAAAACAGTAGACAATTGTTGTTATTTTTATTTTATTACGAATTGTTATGAAAAGTCAATTGCGGAAAATGCATTTTTTTTTTTTTTTGTTAACTTTTATGTACAATTGTTTTTTATCTTTCTCTCATTACTACACAATGTGAGAGCTTTTGTTGTTGCATTTGGTCTAGCTGTTGCTTTTTTATTTATTTAATTTTGTTATTATTATTGTTGTTTGTTGTTAGTTGCTAGAGAGTCGTTAGTGAACTACTCTTATTTGCAGCGAAATATCCGCAAACTAGTCAAACACTAAATGACACACAAGAGTTGCCAACTATTTGATTGTTGCTTCAGAAACTTTGTGTATTTAAGATAAGTTTGTTGTTGTGGTTTAAAAGTCCTCTTTTTTTAAGTACTCTTGTACTCAGGCTATTGTACTATTTAGAACTTTTTGACAACGAAAGATACTGCAGTAGCCCCACGACATATAAAGTACCGTTACTAAGTAGCCCATAAGCTAGTCACTAGATTAAACCATAAATTAATTAATAGAATAGTCTATGGTCTAGTCAATAGACTAATCCATAGAATCCTAGTGGTTAAACTTTCCAACTATTCCATATAATAGTCAATGACTAATCCATAGGCAAATCTATAAACTTATTCATAGATCAATAGATTAGTCCATATACTAGTCAATTGGCTAAGCAATAGAGTAATTCATAGACTAGTCAATCGACTAGTCCATTTACTAAGCCATCGATTAGACTATAGACTAGTCCATAAACTAGGTAGTAGACTAGTCAATAGACTGGGCATTATACTAGTATATAGGCTATTTAATAGACTAGTCCATTGACTAGGCAATCGACTAGTCGAAAGACTAACTAATCCATAGAATTGGTAATAGACTAGTCTATAGCCAATAGATTAATCCAAAGAATAGTTAATAATAATATCGACTTGTCCATACTGTTCAACATATTAGTCCATAAACGAGTCTATAGGGTAGTTAATAGATTAGTCTATAGAATATTTAAAAGACCAATTATTGGGCTAATCCATTGACTAGACTTGGAAATATACTACTCCATAGTCTAGACAATATACACTAGTCTATTCCATAGACTATTTAAGACAATCGACTAGGCAATACTCTAGGCAATATACTACTAGTCCATAGACTAGTTAATAGACTAGTCCAATGACAAGGAATCGACTAGTCAATGGACATGTCGGTATACTAGTCTATAGACTAGTTAACAGGCTAATTAACAGAGTAGTCCTTGGTCTAGAAAATACAATAGTCAATAGACTCGACAATGGACTAGTCCATAGACTAGTCAAATGATTGGTCCATAGGCCAATGGTTGGCTAAAATACCTTCAAAATTATTTAATAAAAAGACAAAAAGTACTTTTAATTTCAAAAAATTACTATTTTTCATAAAAATAAGTACTACTTAGTTCAAAATTTAAATTTTACATGCCTACTTGTACTAATATTTATTACCCATTTAGAGGGGAATTTAGCCTTAACGTAGGGCTAAATGTGTTATTTGGCAATATTGCTTTTTTGCAAATTTTCTTTTTATAATTTTTTGCGCTCTTCTTTTAAATACCTACGCTGGGAAATAGACAGGTTTTTTTTCGGGAAAGAAAAAGAAAATGTGTATTATTAAATGTGATGTCATCATAATAGAGAAAAACATGTGTATTTTTTCTCAGTTGAAGGACAAAGACAGTGTTGTCAAATATATTAAGGAAAAATCATTAAATAGGGTAGATAAATGTTGATGGGAAAACGCTTATATATGTATGTACAGTGTATGTATATGAAACGATATGGTCCTAAGGGTTAAATTTATAAAATTTAAAGAACATATTTTTAATTTTATAGTACAACATTGCACTATTTAAAACTGCAAATAGTTTATTATGCTAAATACTGTAATAAAAGCAATTTTTATACCCTACACCACTTTAGTGGGGAGGGTATATTAGATTTGTGCTGATGTTTGTAACATATAAAAATATTCGTCCTAGACCCACCTTAAAGTATACCAATCGGCTTAGAATCGTTTTCTGAGTCGATTAAGCAATGTCCGTCCGTCCGTCCGTCTGGCTGGCTGGCTGGCTGTCCATGTAAACCTTGTGCGCAAGCTACAGGTCGCAATTTTCATTGGATGAAATTTAGCACGCACGTTTTATTTGACCCAAGGACGAAGCCTATTGAAAATGGTTAAAATCGGTCCATTATTTCACCTAGCCCCCGTAGAACAGAACCCCCCGAAAAGGGCTTCTGAGCTTATAATTATGTTAAATATACAGATATATCGATAAAATACGGCATAACTAAGTTTTATAGAAGTCTTGATAGCCCTGCCAAATTTCATAAAGATCGGGCCCCATTTGACCCTAGCTCCCATACAAAGTCCCCTTCAGAAAATTACTTGAATGTCCCAAATTAACTTATAAACACAAATATCGCGATGAAATTCAGCACAATAAAATATTATGTAAATATAAATATATTCACAAAATTTTATCGGGCTTGGTCCATATTTGCCCCTAGCCCCCATATAAAGCCTCTTTCAGAAAATTAGTTTTTCATCCATAAATTGCTTAAATGTATCGGAACAAGGGAATACTGAAGATAAATGCGATATTATGAAAAATAAATCACATTTAATATTCATAACTGGTGTAGGGTATCATATGGTCGGCCACGCCCGACTATACTTTCTTACTTGTTTTTATTTTAATTATTAGTTTATTTATTAATTAATAAAACATCAATTTTTTTTAATTGAGCAAATTTCAATGCCAAGTAATTTTCATTTCATGACGCCTTATTACTAGTAAATAGACATTTAGCTACAATGTCTGACAACTAGACACACGTCATATAATTTTGCATACTATTCATAAGTACAATTATTCAGTACACTTTTATCGCTATGAACACGTGATTTTCTTTTGGATTGTTTCTAATACTTCCTTCTTAAATAACTAGGGCAATGATTTGAATTTGTCATTAGTATTAAGTAGTTGAAAAATTCAAAAGATTTAAAGCTTTTTAAAAAAGCTTGGTTCTTATAAACAAATCCCTTGATAATAATTGAAACTTATGTAATTAACGGAATGTGTAAATTGGATTAGAATAAATATGGCGCCCACAGGGCTTAATATATTTACCGACAGCCAGAAGGCAATTTGTGCGATATCAGGTGATAGAATTTAATCTAAGACCGTATTGGATTGTAAGAAAGCTTTAACTGAATACTCTCCCAGAGGTAAGGTTCACATCATATGGGTACCAGGCCACTCGGGAGTAGTCGGCAACGAAAGGGCGAATGTAATAGCTTTAAAGGGAAGGGAGCTCGATGTAGTTAACCTGACAAACGCAAAACCATTCGACGCAACAAAAGCTGAATTAAAAATATAGATGAGAGAATCCCATAAGGCCTCTTGGAATAATGAAACGGTGGGTAGAACCACAAAAATTCTATGGGGTGACCCTGATGAGAGCAAGACGAGAAATCTTCTCAAATGAGCAAGTCTGAGGTTAGTATGATGGTACGTATTCTGAGTGGACACACAGGATTACGAGCACACCTATACAAAATTGGACGTGCGGATTCAGACGAATGTAGAGCATGTGGAGAGGACAGTGAAACTCTGGAGCACTTTCTTTGCCATTGTCAGGCATTCGTCGAAGTTAGATCCAAGTATCTTGGAAGTGATGTTATTCCGGAAATAACATTCTTAACCAACACCGATTGGAAGATTCTTAAGAATTACGTCCAGGAACATTCAGTGCAAATTTGTTTTTTTTTTTTCTTCTTTCTTGAATTGGAGCGCACAACAGGCCCGATAGTGGCCTAGGTGTATTTCTTCGGATTTGATGTAGTATACATCCTCCTATCAACCTACCTACCTACCTATGTAATTGAAAAAAATCCACATAAAATAAGTAGTTCCTTTATTTAAGTATCAAAATAATTATCGCAATTTAATCTTGTATTAAAAAATGGCCTGTGTTAGTGATTTCAATGTTAAGATATTAAATAATAATTTTTCTAATAACATATTTAATAGATACAATTAAATATTGTATAATAAATATGTACTTCAAATAATTAAAGACCTACATCAATTTTTTGTATATAAATTTTTATTATACATAAATATAGTTGATATTTTCTTATAAATATGTATTTAAGTACAATATATCAGCAAATATTTCTTAATGGAAATAGCTAACAATTAAAGAATATAAAATAATACATATATTTATAAACGGAAATAAAAACAATAATAATTTTCTATAAAAATCTTTAGTTACATAAAAAAAAATTAATTCGAACCCAAGAAATACATCAGTTTTTCCAGATATTGTGTTATGTATATAGTTCGAAAGATATCTCGTTTTTCACCATATTTTAGACGCTATAAGACGACATAACAAATTTTAGTATTAATTGATATGATATCTGTAAAACCTTATGTGATGGATACATCTCTAGTTACGGATTAAGCGCTGCTCGATCCATTAGAGAAATATACTTTGGTCTCTGAGTTAAAAATGTGTAATCGATCTTTCATTTGATCGATGTTTCTTGAATTTGAAATATAACTATTTCGAAAGATCAAAAACAAAATTTAAAATAAATTAGCTAAAGGCTAAACGATTCTATTAAAACAAACAAAAGTTTTCAAAGTTTAAAATTATCATTTTAATAACAAGACCTTCTAGACAGCAGCATAAAACCATTAAAAATAACATATTCAAAACATTATTATCAAAAGATAAAAAAATCTGGTTATTTCTCTAAACATTTGGAGTTGCACACCTAAAAACCGGAAAACTATAATTTGCATGGAGGAAAAAATACACGCACGCACGTTTTAACAAAACTTCCGACTTCAACAGCCATCCAGCTGTGGGAGTTTGAAAATAGTTGCTTTGAAAATTTACATTATGTACCAGGCATGGAAAATTGAAATTTTGAAATACTTATAACAAAAAGTGCAATTTTTATGTTTTTAAGCATTCAACTAATTTCTCACTAGTCTTACACTACAGATGGGACTAGAATGTAGAGTAGACTATAGACTAGACTATACTATAGACTAGACTATACTATAGACTAGACTAGACCATACTATAGACTAGACTAGACTATAGACTAGACTATAGACTAGACTATAGACTAGACTATAGACTAGACTATAGACTAGACTATAGACTAGACTATAGACTAGACTATAGACTAGACTATAGACTAGACTATAGACTAGACTATAGACTAGACTATAGACTAGACTATAGACTAGACTATAGACTAGACTATAGACTAGACTATAGACTAGACTATAGACTAGACTATAGACTAGACTATAGACTAGACTATAGACTAGACTATAGACTAGACTATAGACTAGACTATAGACTAGACTATAGACTAGACTATAGACTAGACTATAGACTAGACTATAGACTAGACTATAGACTAGACTATAGACTATAGACTAGACTATAGACTAGACTATAGACTAGACTATAGACTAGACTATACTAGACTATAGACTAGACTATAGACTAGACTATAGACTAGACTATAGACTTGACTATAGACTAGACTATAG